AACCACTCCCATTTCCCTCTGGCAGGAGAAGGTCCGGAAAGAACTTGACTGGAAAAGTAAGAGGCCCGGAGGGAGCCAGACACTGGTGACTTCCCATGAGACCGTGGGTCAAGCAGGATAAGGGGCTGGGTGATGGAGCTGAGAGTGCAGGCAGGGTCGGGCCGGCGTGGAGAGGAAGCCCAGCCACCTGCCAGCACTAGGCAGTCATGACGGTGACCATCTGGTGGGCCCAGCTTGTACATGAACAAGGCCCAGCTGGAAGCAGTGGGGCAGGAAAGGGACTGAAGTTTTCATTTCTGGAATCTCTCCTGTTACCAACCCTCTTAAGAGTTAAGCAAAGTGGGCAATATGACTCCCACACTTCAGATGGGGAACCCGCGGCCCAGAGAAGTTGTTACTTACTCCAGGTCATTCAGGCTGAAGTGTCTGGGCCAGGATTCCAAACCACTTATTTCACTTTGTTTCTCCAAACTGTGAGTGCCAGCCAAGACCAATGACTGAAACAGCACCTTCTCTGCCCAAAATTAGGACAAAGCAAAGATTCACTGTGAGCTGAGGATGGGACAAAGGATGGCCAGCTAAGTGTTGGCCTGTCAGCAACATGGCCGGGATGGAGGTCACAGCTGCAGCTGGGCCAGATCAGGTCTGAAAGCTAAGGCTGCAGGCCCTGAGTGGGGAAAAAGGACCCCAAGAGAGTCAGAAGGAGGGGCACCTGGCTCTTCCAATCCCAATGGGTCTGGAATGGAGAGGGGAAGCAGTCAGGCTTAGAGGAACCGTAGTGTGGGGTTGTGGCTGGGAACTACTCTCCTTCCCCCACCTCAAGCCTGCATTGTTAGCTGATCTTTATGATCCTGCCATTTTCTTTGGCCTGTGTGACACCTTCCACACAGGTCAGGGTGATATATAGTAAGACAAACTCCCTACAGGTAAGGACATGGCGGCTGACAGGGGCTGAGGGACTCCCTGGTCCTTGACTGGTTTGGGGAGGGTAAAACCTGGTCTGAGGCCCAGACTGACTCCTGGTCCTGTCTTGGTTCCTGCCCCTGTCACTCCTGCCTACACTCCTGGCTCTTTTCTGGGGCTGACTGGACAGTGTTCTAGGTTGCTACATATTTTGTCCAGTTCAGGCTCCAGGAGGGAAGCTGCTTGGTGGCATGTGGGACAGTCAGTCCTCAGCACACAACATCTCTCGGAGCACCTGTGACCTCCAGAGACTAAACAGTCCCAGCCTTCTGGATTAATGTCATCTGGTCATTGATAGAGTGGAGCCCTGCCGAGATGGCCTGGAGCCAAGGCCTCCGTGTCTAGGCCAGCCACAGCAGCCCCTGACATCTGGCAGGAAAGCAGACACACTCCCTAGGAGGAGGCACTCACACCCACATCTGTCTGTACAGCCCATCTGTCCCTAAAAGGATGAGTAACAAAAGGTGACTGAGTTTACTGAGCATTTTCTCATATGCTCCTCACTCCAGCTTCACAACAACTGGCCAGACACCCCATGAGAAGAGGTCACGGCTGAGACCTGACCCCAGTTGTTCTGACTCTGAGTTCTGGTCTTTGTCAGTCTCTTGCCGCTACCCAGGTGTGGATCCATCTGTGCTGCTCCAGCCAAAGGACCAGGATTATATCCAGGCTCACATGTGTGACAAAAAACACCTGGATACCTAGCTCCCCGCAGAGCAGGTCATCCTGAAGGGCCAGTGATGGGGGAGACCAATTGTAAGGAGAAGATACCACAGATCTGCTCACTCCTGCCTGCCCTTTCCAGCCCAGGTTGAACAATTTTCCCAATGTCGGCCAACTGAAGTGCACCCTGGAGGCCTGGCCAATGTTTCTTTGGGGGCCAAGTCACTCTTGGGCACCCAGAGGGAAAATGACTCCTCCCAGCCTGCAAGTGTCCAGGAGGGGTAAAGTCTATACCACATGGAAATGCAGATGCCTGGCGGTATTAGCTACAGAGTGTGTGTGTGTGTGTGTGTGTGTGTGTGTGTGTGTGTGTGTGTGTGT